GTCCAGAAGCCGGTGACTGATCTGCCTTGCCTGGGAAGAGCGCAATGATGGTGCCAACTTGGGCCAGTAAAGCGACGTCCTCCACAACTACACAAAAGGACAAAAAGGACAGCAACTTGTCTGTTCCCCTTCCCCCAATTCCCCAGCGCTGTTCCCATCCCCCAATTCGCCAATTTAAAAAAAAAATGTAAATGGGTAAATTTTTTTTCTTTTTTGCATTTCATAACTTATGGAATGTATCTAAATCTGTAATAACTGAATGTTATCATGTTAAACATTTATTTACTTATTTTTTAATGGGGAAAAAGTTATTTAAACATTCATCTCTAGGAACTAGGTAAAGAACAACAGAATTAATCTGGGAGAAGTAGAATAAAGAAAAAATAGAGATTAGAGAAGAAATAGAAAATAAAAATATATGGAGATTTTAAAGCTGGTTTCTTAAAAGTTTAGTAAAAGAAACAAAGCTGTTGCATGTGTTATAGATCAAAAATTCGATGGAATAAATTTAAAGATTTAATTGGCTTTAATGAATGATTCATGAATGAAGAAGCATCCCATCTAGTACATAGAAAGGTTCTCCCAAATGGGTAATTTTTTTATTGTAGGAAAATATGAATAACATAAATTGACCATTTAAACCATTTTAAGTGTATATTTAAGGAACAGTACACATGGGGTGTTTTTTTTTTGGCATATGAAAATTTATTACTACTGTGTTTTCACCATGAAAACTTATGATCTCAGGGTGGCTGGTTAGCTCAGGTGGTTAGAGCGCAGTGCTTATAACACCAAGGTTGCCACTTCAATCCCCACATGGGCCACTGAGTTGTGCCCTCCACAACTAGACTGAAACAACTCCTTGACTTGGAGCTGATGGGTCCTGGAAAAATACACTGTTCCTCAATTAAAAAAAAACAAAAACAAAACTTATGATCTCGGTCTTTCCTTGTTGCCTTTGTATAAGGCCAAAAGAGACATTGCTACTTTGACAACCTTAAAGCAAACTCCACAAATGTCACCAACAGCATGACCTTTGAAACCAAATCCAGCAGCCAGAACTTCATCATTTTCCTCAATAAAATTCAACCAACCATCATTGGGTACAAAGGCTGTGATTTTTCTTGCCATTCTTGTTCAGCTGGACCCTGACCCACTTCCTGATGGCAGAATTTGGCTGTTTGGCTTCAACCACTACTTTTTCCAGCACAATTCCCTTTGCATGGGAAGAGCTTCCAAAAGGGTTGGCCCTTCAGGGCTCAAATGGGCTTTCTTCTTTGTTTTTTGGGGGGGTTTTTTTAATTGGGGAATTGTGGGAGGGGGACCAGCCAAGTTGTTGTTCTTCAATCTTAGTTGTGGAGGGCGCCAGTTGCCATCTGGCAGCTCGTGGCCTCTAAGCTCAAGGTGCTGTGTTCAATCTTAGTTGCACCATCCCATGCGGGAGTTGAACCGGCAGCCTTGTTGTTAAGAGTGCATGCTCTATCCACTGAGCCATCCAGGTGGCAGCTCAGCTCAAGGTGCCAAGTTCAGTCTTAGTTGCAGTCGGGCGTAGCCCACCATCGAACAGGCAGTCTTCTTGTTAGGAGCACGTGCTCTCACCCAGCTGAGCCATCCTGCCATCTGTTGGCAGCTTAGCTTGGGCGCAGCATCACTGTCCCATGTGAGAATCAAACCGGCGGCCCTGTTGCTCAGAGCTCCGGCTCTTAAGTTAACTCTTAACCAACTGAGCCACTCAGCCAGCCCTCTTCTACTGTGTATCATGCCACTTCTGATCTCGTCAGTGACTCCAGAGCTTCCTGGCAGTATGAAGACCGCGACACTTGCCCATCCTGCCGGCACCACAGACCCGAACAAAAAGCCACATGGTAATTTTTAAGAGAAATTTTACATTAAATCAGGCACAGATGAATTTTGGAGAACACAAAATTCACACAATTTTTTAGATAAAGTAGGAGACTAGAGAAATGTTGATCCCTGGGTGACCTTTTCAGAATGTAAATCCCCGTTAGAAATTTTTTTTTTGGAAGAATTTTATGGTTTTATTAAAACACAATTTGCACACAAGCTGTCTATTCATTTTCTTCACTGCGCAGCCTGGCATTGGGATTGGTGACTCTGACGGCCAGCTGGGCTGCTCTTTCCACAATGCCTTTGCGGTTCTTGGAGGAGACGTTGTGAGCAATCTCAGCACAGTAAGATTTGCTGCACATCAGCAGCACTTCAAGCTCCTTGACATCGTGGACCAGGAACTTCCGAAAGCCACTGGGCAGCATGTGCTTTGTTTTCTTGTTACTCCCATAACCAATGTTGGACATCAAGATCTAGCCCTTGAATCTTCTGCGCACCCTATTGTCAGTGCCTCTGGGTTTCCGCCAGTTACACTTAATTTTGACATATCCGTCTGACTGGTGCCGGATAAACTTCTTGGTCCTCTTTTTGACGATCTTGGGCTTCACGAGTGGTCTGAGGGCGGCCATGATACCAAGTAAAAGATGAACGCCACCTCCGTAGGCAGCGCAGAGGACCCCGTTAGAAAATTTTCAATGGCTCCCACTTTCCTCGGTGTGAAAATCACCTTTACAGCTTCCTCTCCCATTATTCCACACCTGCTCCTACCTCTACAGCTCCAGGTGTTAGCCCATGTGGTTCCCACTGCCTAGAGCTCTTGTCTTGAGTTGGTTAGCTCCCCGTCAACCCTACAGGAGACTCCTTTCTTCTCTGGGACGCTCTCCCTGGTTGAACCACACGTGAACACACACACACACAGCCCGCTGTGCTCCGTTTCTGTCCCAGCAATTTTGACACTGGCTTGTTCTCATCTGGTTATGCATTCGCCTGTCTCCCCACCGGACTGTGTTCTCCCTACGTGGACCTGGCCCACTGGGGACATGGGAGAGTGTGATATTCTCCCACTCACGGACTGAACAAATGGGCAATTTAGGGATGGAGTACTTCTTTTAGGGGTAACCTCACGTGGAAGAGGTGGTGGGGGAAAGCCACCATCAAAAGCAAAATTATTCAATCTTATAAAAAAGAATGCTCTGCCACTTACTAACAGCGTCCGTTTGGATCCGTCACTACCTCTCGGGGGCCTCAATTTCTCATGCTTAAATGGGAATAATAACGACAACAGCACCTGCCTCCCCAGATGGTGGAGGGGATTTGGTGAGTTTGCGCCACGGTTGCTGTTGCTATTGGGCCTAGATCGCTGGGCAGCGCGCTAGGCACAGCTCAGCACCGGCGGACAGGCGCTCAAGCGCGGGGGGGACCAAAGGGGCGGCGCCACCGGGCCGCCACAGGGAGACCGCGGCCTGCCTACCTCGGTAGCTGTGGATGCGGCGGCCAGTGCCGGGCGGCAGCGTGGGGTAGGGCTGCGGCTCGCCGTCGAAGTTGAGCCACACGGGCAGCACGACGCGGGGGCTGCGGTTGCAGAAGATGACCTGGGACGGCTCGCGCGAGTTCACTGAGCGCAGCACCGGCAGGGGCCGCCCGGCCTCCATCTCCTCCTTGGGGCCCGGCTCCTCCGGGTCAGACTCTTCAGGGCCGGACTCCTCTGCAGCCTCCTCCTCCCGGCCGTACTCTTCGGGGCCGTACTCCTCAGCACCCACCTCTTCCGCGCCCGCCTCGGCTTCCTCCACGTTCCCCGCCTTCCTGGGCATTACCTCACAGAGCCTAGACAACCCAAGGCTCAACGCCTCGGGATTCTAGGGCCGCACAGGGCGGAGCGCGGCGTGCGTGCGTGCGCGCTCCCGGACAGGCTTACGGGCCGTTTTCGCGCGCTCTCGGGCCCCTCCAAGAGGCCGGCTTGAGGCTGTGCGCACGCGCGGATGGAACATCTGGCTGCAGGGGCCGAGCCTCACTGAGGCGGTGGGTGGGAGCTAGGCTACCCAGTGCCCGGCTTATCTTAGAAATTGGGTTTTTCCCCTCCTGTAAGTTTCTTTTCTTTTTTTTCCCCTTTATGTTATAAACTCCGCTGCTTCTCAAGCCAGTAAGGGCCACATTAGCTCTTGTTGGGCCAAGTACTCCTGCGGAGGACGGTATCACTCCTCTGTCTCCCCTTCTGTTTGTGACACAGCGTTTCCGTAGCTTCATTCATTCCCTTAAGACCTTCATGTTTTTTTGCATGATTTTCCCTACTATCTGCACTATTATTTATGTAATAATTGTCTTAGTCAAGTTTGTTTTGTCTCGTTTTGGGTCACAAAATTCAAATTTTGTGCAGAAGAGTACAATAAAGTATAAATTTCCCTCTGATCCCAGTTTCCCTAGCCACCCTGAAAAAGTCTCTGGAGACAGGGATCACCAGCTTTTTTGTACTTCCTTTCAAAGATATTCTATGCTTACACAAGCGATTAAACAAGTTTGGGAAGAAATTTTGTATCACTACCATCAATGGAAATTCATTATCCTTTGCCATAGAGGAGTGGAACTAAATTCAAAGAAAATGAAACAATTATTAAATTTTATCTATTGTCTGTTAAAGACTCTGAGTCTACTCTTGGTTCAAAAGGGTTAGCCAAGTATTAGATGTTAGATGCCAAATGTTAGTTGTCAAACCAACTTTGTCCTGGACATACATAATCAGAAAAGTTAAAGGAAACTGAAAAGGAAATAAATTACTTTTCACACTGTAGTCTGTGTGCCCTCCGAAATTCACACCTACATCGGTGCAAAGTTCTCATTCCAGGTTTATCTTTAGATATGTGATGTTGAGCAAAACTTTAAATTCTCTGAGCTTTTAATTGCCCACCTTTGAAACTGGAATTTTTAAGAGTACCTTATATCATGTAAGTGTGGATTACATGGAAAAGTGTTCAATGCCTAGCACATAGTAAGCACTCAACAAATAGCAATAGTTATTATAAAATGAGTTAAATGTACTATCTCTGCCCTCAAAATGCTCTTGGGCTACTGGGCAAGCATACAGGACATGTTATAGTAGTGTGATATTCATTGTAAAAGAGCAGGTGGAAGGTAACTGGCTGGACCTGAAAAGAATCAGCTGTCTTCCTAGGAGGAGGAGTTATATCTGAGGTGGACTTTGAATAAAGACAAATTTTTCTCTTCCTATCTCCCATCATACAAATATCCAGCCTGGATGTCAAATCAGGACTCATGCCCCCCAGGAGAGAGGGCAGACTCCACATAGGCACTGATTCCCCAACCCAGTTTGCCTCTCATTGATTTTATACCCACTGCCTCCAAGCCCAGAACTCCTACAGGCCTACCACTTACTGGAAACTCACCTGGTGGCCCAGGCCAAAGAGGGGCAAATGTTTACGTCCACGGACTAGCACTACAGCCCCAACATTTAAAAGCAGTGGCAGGGAGAAGGGAACAAACTGGCTTTCTTTTTTTTTAGCTACACTCTTGGTTCTCAATCAAATTCGCAAAGGTTTAGGGTTGATTTTCACCCACCTAAGCGAACTCTTTTCAGTTTCTTCAATTGCCTCACAAGAAAGACTGCTATAAACTCCACAAACCACATTGGAAAATGGCAACCCCATTAAAATGAGGGAAAGCTTATTTAGTATATGAAATTAAATAAAAGGGGGAAGAGCCATCAAATTGTATGTGCAGTGTGATGACATTTATCTAAATATATGCAATTATTAGCCCCACCGCCCACTTCCATTTCTGGAATGTAGTTTTATTACATTTATAATTAAAGCTAAATCAATTATCCACCCTCCCCCAGTTTTATTGAGATATACTTGTCCTAAATCAATTCTTGAAAGCCATAGATGACTGGTGAAGAGGGGAAAACAGTCAGACCTAACTACAGTATGTGCAGAGAATTATGAAAACTTGGGAAATGAGACAATTATTTTTGGGAGATTAAAACCACAAAGTATAACCACTCATTTCTTCATTCATTCTACAAATATTTATTGAGGCCCTACAATGTGCCAGGTTCTGTGCTAAGTGTTAAGAATATTGCAGAGAACAGTCATGGTCCCTGCCTACACAGCACTTCAATAGGAGAGTAACATAATAATCAAACAATCATAGAAATAAAAACAAACTTGCAATTACTACTAGTGCAACAAAGGAGAAAGGAGGTGCTATGGAAGGCTGGAGGTTTGATAATCAAGGAAGAGGGTACACAATTCTATAATGAAATGTTCAGTGATGTGTGATAGACTCTAAGTGAGAAATCAGCACAGAAATAGCAGGGTTTAGAGGGTTTCATATTAATCAAAGATGAATTTCAAGGAGAAGGAAAAAAATGCATCAAATGCTAGGCACTGTACTAAGCATTCCACATGCATTAAAGCTATGTCATTACCTCCATTTTACAGCTAAGGAAACTGAAGCGTATATAAGGTGTGAAAAGGGTGGTAAGAGGAGAGTGCTGGATCAGAGAAGTTCATCATCTGATAATTTGCAGGAAAGTGGGATGAGTGAATCTAAGTTTTTGAACACATCTACAAAGGAACCAACACTCTGAGCCTTGTTACTTTGCCGTGGGCTCTCCTTGGCAGTGCCTTATATAGATATGGCATATCATGATGGCCTCCAGCAGGATTACGTGATCAGCAGTAATGCTGGACTTCCAGCTATAATGAACACCAACAACATTGAAACATTTGTTGAGGAGAACCCCAAGGAAAGATAAGAATTCCTGTTAAATCAAATTACAATGGCTCAGGGCCAGCATAATTCGCAGGATTCATGCAAACATACCCTCATTTGTACTCCCAAGCTAGTGAGGTAAATCATACCAGTTTGATATTACAGAAATGCCTACATCCCTAAAATCAGAGCAGATGTTTAAACACAGGCCATACAATTGATGTTGCATCATTGCAAATAATGTGTATAAAGATCATTTAAATGCAAGGAAAACATGTTAGGATATACTAAGTAAAACTTCAGACTATTGTCTTACAGTACACTTTCCACTATGTAAAAACAAACATAGGGAGGAACAGAAGAAAATGCACCCCAATGTTTTAGGACAACTGGTGATTTTTTCCCCCTTTCTACTTTTCCATCTTTTCTAAATTTTCTTTTAGGACAATATATTTTGTCTTGTTTATATTTTGACCAATTAAAACTATGAAGAAATAAAACAATAAAGCAAGTACTGATGGTCTCATCATATAAAATTAACAATATGTTGTCATATTTACTTCCCTTAAAAGGATGAGGCAAAAATCCCCTTTGACTTCCACCCTGGCCCCATTTCCCTCCCTCCTCCCCAGAGGCAACAATTGTCATGAGTTTGATGTGTATCTATCCTGGCCATTTTCTTCTAAATTTATTTTATATTTGCATATAGACTCGCATGTAACTATCACTACAATCAAAATAAAGAATATTCCATCACCCCCAAAACACTTTTGTGGTCAAATCCTGCTTATTATGCCTTGGCAACCATTGATCTCTCTGCCCTCTGTCCCTATAGTTTTATCTTTTCCATAATGTCATATAATGTAATCATATTATGTAGCCTTTTTTTTTTTTAACTTTATTGGGGAACAGTGTTTTTTCCCAGGATCCATCAGCTCCAAGTCAAGTTGTTGTCCTTCAATCTTAGTTGTGGAGGGTGCAGCTCAGCTCCAAATCCAGCTGCCATTTTCAATCTAGTTGCATGGGGCGCAGCCCATCATCCCACAAGGGAATTTAACGGGCGACCTTGTTGCTCAGAGCTTGCACTCAAACCAACTGAGCCACCCAGCTGCCCCAGTATGTAGCCTTTTGGGTCTGGCTTTTCACTTAGCATAATGAACTCGAAACTCATCCATGTTGTACTATGTATCAGCTTATTCCTTTTCATTGCTGAATGGTATTACACTATCAACTCACCATCTGGAGGACACTGAATTTTTTCGTTTTTAGCTATTATGAATAAAGCCACTATAAACATTTGCATACAGGTTTTTGTGTATGTGTGTGTGAATATAAGTTTTCATTTCTCCTAGGTCAAAATCACCTAGGGGTGAGTTTGCTGGGTCATATAGTTAAATGTATGTTTAACTTCATGAGAAACTGCTAAACTGTTTTCCCAGAGTGGCTGTATCATTGCATTCCCACAAAAAATGAGTGGTCTAAGCTGCTCCACATTCTTACTTGCCCTTAGTATTATCAAGTTTTTATTTTTGTTCCTTTAAAAAATATTTGTTCATTCTAATAGATTGTATAGTGGTACTCAAAGTTTTATTTTGTATTTCCCAGCAACTAATGTGCAACATTGTTTCATGAATTTGTTTGCCACCCTTTTGTCTTCTTGGTGTCAGTTCAGATATTTTGTCCATTTCTTTATTAGGTTGTTTTGTTATTGCTGAATTTTGATAGTTCTTTATACATTTATTCAGGCTATCTTTTAATGCTTTTCCAACACTAGTGTATACCCATAATCTATATGTAGTGATGTAGTTTATAATGGTAAAAAAATTTTAAATAATCATAAACCAAAATATCTTTGATTTCCACATACAATTTTGGCCTATGGTATCTTTCCTATTTAATAAATTTGACACTGCATTGGTCCTGTATGTTCTTTGTGTTTTCCTGAGGTTTTCTGCAAATGTCATTTTGGTGTACTTTGGGTTGCGTGGGAAAATACACTAAATAATGACTATACTGTAAGCTCCAAGAGTAGAAGCTATGTGTGTGTTTCTCACCATTTTATCTCAGTGCCTCACATAGTAGACACGCAATGTATTGAATGCTAAGGAACAACTTCCTAGGCAAAAGGTTTGTCAAAGCCAAACTGAATTACTTATCATTTATTAAACTGGAACATCTTACTCTTAAAAAAAAATTTATTAACAAAATTGGTTTCCCCTTATAATGCACTTATTTTCCATGTTTACTCTTACAGTCACACTGGAATTGCCACATTGAATGAATTCAGATTTCAGGATAAATCTCAATTCAAAAATGTTTTATGATGACTATATAGAAGAAATTCTTTGTACTAGTCTTGCAACTTTTCTACATGTCTGAAAACTGTTTTACAAAAAAAATTATTTTTGAAAAACTATTATGCTTAGGGAATCCAGATCCAAGCCCAAAGGTGCCAAAGGAAACCCTGCCCAATTTTTTCAAATGCAAACGGTGATGTCAATGGACACCACTTAGCTACATGACAGGCAATTGCCCTTTTGCTCTCTCACAGTTGTCAATGATACCCAGAGAGAGGCTAACAAAGGACCCACAGGGCACAGAAAACCGACCTGGGAAACCCTGAATAGGGCTCTGGCTCTGCACCAGGAGTAAGGAGACCTAGGTTTTAGTGTTGGCTTTGCCACCATGTAATTGGATAGGTATGTCACGCAACCTGTCTGGGCTTGTTTCATTTTTCAAAAGGCAGGGGTAGACTCGATTCTCTCTAAAATTCTTTCTCACCTTCAAGTTCTGTGAGTTAAGTTCCAGCTAATCCTAACCTTTGGACAACCTGTATACAGCCTACTAGCTTTTCTTCAGAAAATGAACTTGAGAGCCCTAACCCAACCTGATTTTTTTTATGTAAGCTACTTAACAGCCACACTGCTTTTAGAAATCAGCTGTACTTTTGTAGTTACTAATGGTACCAACTGTCTCCAAACTGTCGGAGAAAGTTCCCTAACTCACCTTCTTCAGAGGCAAGTGGGGCAAACCTTTTCTTGCAGGCAACAGTATGAAATTGAGTGAGTACAAGTGCTGGGAAGGAGCCTAGAAATGAGTAGGCTTTCTATCCACTTAGTGTGGCCTACAGTAACAGATGTTTATGAACATGGGTTTCGCTGCATTAAATAAAGGTGGGAAGTTGAAAGTATTGAGTAGCTTTGAACTTTAAGTGAATTAAGTGAATTTTAAACAAACCCAAGATGACAGAACTTGGTACATTTCTAACACTAAAAAAAAAAAAAAAATCTGCTCCCTATTTCTTCCTGCTTCTGAAATCCAGTCTGAGCTTCCTTTTAACAGATTTAAAACTGCTTTATTATCAAGAGATTTGTAGTCTATTTATGCCTAATAGCTCGCTGGTTCAGATCCCTTACAATTTAGTTTTTCAATAAATATATGAATTAAATTAAATTACAGGTAGAAAACAATTCCAAGTGTAAGGGAGTGAAGAGGTTCCCTTGAAGGCTCTTATGTAGCAGAAAAATCTTTCATTATTTAGATCATTTCCCACTCAAGTTAGAAAATAGGGAAGTCCTTCATAATTATCCTTCAGAAATCATTAAGATTTAATGAGGGACTATAGAGAAGCACAATGTAGATAACGTCTCTACAATGTCTAATATGGGAAGAAAAAACGTAATTTTTCATTATAATAAGGCAACTGAGAACAATTTGGAATCAGATAATCTGGGTATATTTAGCCTTTCTGAAACCTCATCTCCTTCTATAGTTTAAATCAAAACAACTATCCTGTCAACATCTTAGTTATGAAACATGTTAAAAAAAACAAAACCAGAATGATTTAGTGAACATAGGTTAAAATGTAAAATATAACTGTCATCCTCAGGGAGAGTGAAATGTTAGTACTGGCAGACCTCGGACATATTGCTGGCTCAGTTCCAGACCATCACACCAAAGCATTGCAAAAAAGGGAGTTGTAATCTTTATGCTGGTGGAGGGTCTTGCCTTCAATTTGTAAGAAATGCCATCTGTGACACTCAATAAAACCAAGTATGCCTGTAATCAGAACCCTAACTGCGTAAGTTTAAGTGACACATTGGGAACGAAATAGATGGTGGTTTCGCTTAACGCTATTTATGGGTTGCAATGACCTGTGAGCAAAGATATGTATGACTTGAGAGTAAAATCCCAGTTTCTGGAGCCTGACCAAATAAGGTCTTTTAGAAGGGGGATACAACTATGTACTTCTTTTGGCTCCAGAAGCATCTCTAACCCGGAGACAGTGACAGGAAGTGCTGGAGTTGATTAAACTCTTTAGGCAAGACTTCCAGAAAATACAATGTACTGTTCAACCTTCAGATAAAGGGAGCAGGAAGTGAAACTAGACAATATAAACATCCAATGCAGTGTTTGCCAGACACAGCAAGGAAAACCCATGAAGTCTTCTTTACAAAAGGAAGGATGGTAAGTAGGCATTTAAGCCTAATGTACATCTGTGATAATTTTTAAAGTATCTGAGTAGTGAAACAGTACTGGACTAGGTTTGAGAAAATAAGTTTTATTTTATTTTTTTTTTAAGATTTTATTGGGGAATTGGGGGAGGGGAACCGGGGAAAGGGAACAGCGAGGTTCTTGTTCTTTAATTTTCATTGTGGAGGGCGCCAGTCGCCATCTGGCCACCCGTTGGCAGCTTGTGGCCTCTAAACTCAAGGTGCTGTGTTCAATCTCAGTTGCGGGTGGGCGTAGCCACCATTCCATGTAGGAGTCGAACCAGCAGCCTTGTTGTTAAGAGTGCACGCTCTATCCACCGAGCCATACTGAGCAGCATCTCAGCTCAAGGTGCCAAGTTCAGTCTTAGTTGCGTGTGGGTATAGCCCACCATCGAATAGGCAATCTTGTTGTTACACCAGTTGAGCCATCCTGCCACCTGTTGGCAGCTCAGCGACAGCTCAGCTCAGGCGCAGCGTCACTGGCCCACGTGGGAATCATCCAGTGTCCCTGTTGCTCAGAGCTTGCACTCTTAAGCCAACTCTTAACCAACTGAGCCATTTGGCGGGCCCAAGAAAATAAGTTTTAGATTTAGTTATACCACATTCAGAAGTAGAATGGTCAGAGCAGTCTGAGTCAGGTTCAAATCTTACGGTTTCCCCAAAAATAAGACCAGGTCTTATATTAATTTTTGCTCCAACAATCTACATTCATGTACAAAAAAATCTATGTTTATTCAAACAGTCATGTCTGGCTGACGATCTTAACTGGGGCTTACGTTTGGGATAGGGCTTATATGACGAGCATCCTGAAAAATCATGCTAGGGCTTATTTTCCAGTTAGGTCCTATTTTCAGGTAGTCACGGTAGCACCTTCACTTACATCATATGACTTTGGACAAGTTTCAGCCTCTCTAAACGTGTTCTAATTCTATTAAATGGAGACAAGAATGTCTACTTCTTTGGGCTTGAGGATCAAATGAAATAAAGTACATAAAGCACTTAGCACATGTATCATATGGTAACACCCGGTAAGTTATAGATAATACTAGCTATATATCCTTGAGTGAGCAAGAGCCTCATTTTACAAAGGGGTGAGAACACAGGAAAGAACTCTGACACCTTACAGCGCCAGGCAAGATGGGGGAGTTACTACTGCTAAAGGGGGATGAGTTAGTTCATTTGTCTCCCATACCAAATGTTACCCAGTTGCTCTCCTTACAACCAATAACTTTTTTAGAAATATCACTTTGATATTAACAAATATCTATAAGACCATGAAAATTTTATCAAGCATTTTCACATACAATCTCATTGAAGGGAGGGCTTTTCCTGCTTAGATTACTCACTTTTGCCCCATTACTATCTCATGTTATAGTCCTTACAGAGCAGGACCTCAATATCTGCAGAGTACCAGATAGCTTAAAACTCAAACTTTAAAAAAAGTACTTACTTCTTGGGCCGGCCAAGTGGCACGTTGGTTAAGAGCTGGCTTGGGATGCCAGAGGGCCCCGGTTTGGATCCCACATATGAGGGCCAGTGACACCGCCCTCTACAGCTAAGATGCTGAACAACAGCTCAACCTGGAGCTGGGCTGCCTTTGAGTCGCCGGTGACGGCACAGGTTGCAGCCCCTGCTGCAGAGGGATGCCATGGGCTACCATGCGTGGCTGGCAGCCAAGTGTGAGCGGCTGGCAGCTGGTGTGAGCTGCCAAGAACTGCCGTGAGTTGCCGTCCAGAGGCTGGTGACCAATCTGCCTCACCCGGGAAGAGCGCAATAATAATACCAACATGGGCCAGTGAAGCAACGTCCCCCACTAGACTGAAGAACAAAACGACAGCAACTTGTTTGTTCCCCTTCCCCCGATTCCCCAGCGCTGTTCCCCTCCCCCAATTCCCCAATAAAATCTAAAAAAATAAAAATAACAAAAAAAACAACACAGCATTTAGCAAAGTAAAGGATGTCAGTTTTGTTTCCATTGTAAAATCCCATTTTTAAGTGAAGGTACTATTTTAAACGGTCTTTCAAAGGTCTAAACCGGTTCTAAAAGTGCAAAGCAGCATGAGCTCTACAAGTCAGTTCAATTCGTATTTACTATCTGCCTTCTCCAAGGCACCCAGCTGGGCAATACAAGGACAGGCACTCATATATACTACATGATACAGACACTAAATTGGAGAACAATTCACACACCCAGAGCTGAAGTGTAGTGTTAGCATGATGAGACGGGAGGGGCTGGGAAAAGGAAAACGGCAGTACTGGATGAAAAAGTAAAGTCCTGGAGAATTTTCTGGAGGAAGTTTGGCTTGAGCTACACTTTGAATGGCAAATGATTTGAATAGGGAGAATTAGTGTGTCCAGAGCACAGTGACTTCTAGGTGACTTATAAGCCTTTCGAAGTAGGTTGGCACAAGTTTATAGCAAGCTTTGGATGCTAGAATGAAAGGTTTTAGAATCTTCTGTTTAAATCATTTGCTTCACAATAGTAGACATTTAACTGTACCTTATAAAACCTGGATATAAAACCCTGGATTGCAGTTAAATTGTGTGAATGCTGATATTTCAATAGACTATAAGCATCACGTCTGATTCAACACTGTATCTTTTATTGAAGCATAATGTACCTACACAGTAAGTACTTAGTAAATGTCTGCTGAATGACCAAACAATTCCCAGGATGAATTAGTCAGCTCAAACTCCAAATATGAGGGCTCCAGCTGGTAAGCCACCTAGGCTTTGATCAAACAGCTACCCCTGAAAGTTTTATGTTAGAACAATAATCCCATACATCAGATTTCTATAGAATAGGCGAGCCCCATCTCTAGCTCCTCTCCCCACCACAATCACAGCAGTCAGATAAAGTTGAGGAGTTTATTAGGGAAATGTGAGAGGTAAAGACACCCCAAGTGACAGAAAGAAAACTCTGAAAATGTCTCTTCAAGCCAAGTGGAGGCCTGGCCTTGACCTCCCCAAAAGGACAAAAAACTGGTGGGTTGGCAACCACATTCTCTGGCGGCCACCTTGCCAGGGCATGTGTGTCTCCCACCCCCCAACAAAAGTGGTGAGGAGACAGAGACTGTTTATGGGTTCAATGCAGAGGCAATGAGAGCTATAAGGAGAGTCTGAGAGAGGGGTGGGGAGGACCTTAACCACGAGTCCCAGGCTTTTGGCTCTGAATGCCTCAAATACATTGACAAGTAGTTCTACAAAATGTTACTGAAAAGGTAAAATGCCTAATGTTTTCAAGAGTTCCCCTGAAACTTCTCCCCACATGCCACATCACACTGCCAGATGTACATGGCAGAGCCCAAAGGCCACATTTTTGAAGAAAGAAAAACAAGAATTTTTTTGTTTGTTTTCCGTTGCTCTTTAAGGAGAGAGGACGGAGCTGAAGGCTGCTGGGGCCTTTCCCACGTAGGCCTGTGTTCTGTAAAGCAACTTCCCAGCAGCTGCCTGGCACAGTTCTAGGTGAGGGTCTCACCTTTTGTCACCTGTTGAAGTAAAACTGAAAATCAGATAAATTCAAAAAGATTACAGGGTCTTAAAAATCTTATTTTAGATCCTAGGTAGTAGGGAGTGGTAGAAAATGAGAAACCTTTGGAGTCTCAGAAACATGGTTCAAATCCAGAAAAGGTACTTAACTTCTCTAAGCCTGTTTCTACTTCCAGGTTTGTTTTAGCAATAAGTGGAAATGTGCATTCTCTCTTGCACAGCTATTTTCTAACCTCATGAGGAAGCATCTTGCCCAACATACTCACCCGTGCTTCAATGTACTCTATTCTCCGTTCAAGAGCTGTCAGCTTCTCATTTAGTGTTGCGAGTCTTGAACGACAAGACATATCTGGTAAAAGGAGACTCATGTTCAGGATGAATGTCATTCCAGACACATACCACCACCACCACCCAGGCTAAAGAAGAGAAATGATATATCATGCAGAGTACAAATGGGAGCGGGTGGACAAAGCACAGGAGTGCAGAGGACAAGGTGAGAAGTATCTTAGGAGCACAGCTGCTTAGAGTGGATCTGTTGAACTTCCTACCAAATAATGGCCCCCAAAGATATCCACATCCTAATCCCTGGAACCTGTAAATATGTATCTTACATGACAAAAGAAACTTTACAGATGTGACTAAGTTTAAGAACCTTGAGATTGTGGATTATCTAGATGAGCTCAACCCAATCAAAAATCCATAAATATTAGACAAGGAAGGAAGAGGGAAAGCAGAAGAGATTCTGAAGTGTGAGAGGGAATTAACTTGCCATTGCTGGCTTTCAAGATGGAAGAAGGGGGCCATGAGCCAAGGGATGCAAATGACCTTTAGAAACTGGGAACAGCCCTCAGCTGACAGCCAGAAAGGATACAGAGATCTCAGTCCTACAGCTGCAAGAAACTGAAGTCTACCAACAACCCAATAAGCAAGGAAACGGATCCTCTCCTATAGCCTCCAGAAAGGAAGGCACACTGCTGACAGCTGACATTAGCCCAGGGAACCAGTGTTGGACTTCTGATCTACACAACCCTAAAATAATACATTTTTGTGGTTTAAGCTGCTACACTTGTGATAATTTGTTATGGCAACAATAGAATACTAATACACCAAGGGTGTACAGATGGCCATTCGCTAATAGGCAAACGAAGAGTTTCAAGAGAAGGAAAATGACAAGAGGAAGAAAATAATCTCATTAGGGAAGAAAAGCAGAGGCCAAGAAAGCAGGAGAGTCCATGGGGAGGAGGGAAGGTGTCAGTGTTTCTGAGCTCACGGAAGCCACATCACTACTGTTGCTCTAGGAGGTCACTTATGTTTCATTAATATCTGTACCTTTCAGAATGAGAGAAAACTTGGAGAACCTTAAATACCTTGTGGAGCCCACATTCCATCTGCAAAATTCTTTTTCTTCCTCTACCTTTCATCATCTTTTCACCACCTCACCCAAAATGAAACCTAGACTTGCTCTAAAATACCTTTTCCTCTGCAAACTTCTCTAACAGAAACTGCTTGATTACTTTTTCTCCAACTATTCTCAATATACAGGAGAAAATGGTTTCTCGGTATGCTAATTATTTCCTACCACTTCCTTCAACACTGTTGTTCAGCCATCTCTCAATAATCTTCACTTTTTAAGTTTAAAATATCCACTCTGAGACACCCTCCCACTCAGTGATTTAACACTTAGCTCACAACCTTCCTTTTCATCTCTTTCCTGTTATGCAAAAGCGCTTCGGCACCCATTTTGAGACAAATCTTCCTACACCCTAATCTTGCCTCAATTTTCATTTCATCATATCCAAATCTTACTCATCTTGCCTGTCTAAACATTCTCCTTCAAAGCTCAGTTTAAACTGGACCTCTGAGAGGTCTTTGCCAGATGGATATAATTCTCTCCCTTCTTTATTTACCTAAACATTTATGGCTGAATTTCTACTTTGTAAGTTATTTATGCACTTAGTCGTAGGTTATCATTTCTCCCTTTGGGAAAATTTATCAAACAAAAATGTTCACCACTATTATTTAGGAATGCTTTGATAAAGCATGGCATATATATGAGACTATTAAAACAGGTATTAAAATTACATGTTTGAAGAATATTTAACCACATGAGAAAATGTTCATGCAACACCACCAAATATTTTTATATACTTATGTACTTTTTTAATAAGTACTATATATAATTTTATATATATATAAAATATATAAATACTATATATTTATGTACTTATAATTTAGTATTTGTTTAC